AGTGTGCTGCAGCAGCCAAAAAGGCCAACACAGTGCTGGGCTGCATTAACAGAGGGACAGAATCAAGATCACATGAAGTATTAATACCACTTTACAATGCCTTGGTAAGGCCACACTTGGAAAACTGCATCCAGTTTTGGTCACCACAATGTAAAAAAGATGTTGAGACTCTAGAAAGAGTACAGAGAAGCACAACAAAGATGATTAGGGGACCGGAGGCTAAATCATATAAGTAAAGGCTGCTGGAATTGGGTATGTCTAGTTTAATGAAGAGAAGGACGAGGGGGGACATGATAGCAGTATTCCAATATCTCAGGGGCTGCCACAAAGAAGAGGGAGTCAAGCTATTTTCCAAGGCGCCTGAAGGCAGGATAAGAAGCAACGGATGGAAACTAATCAAGGAGAGAAGCAACCTAGAACTAAGGAGAAACTTCCTGACAGTTAGAACAATTAACCAGTGGAACAACCTGCCTCCAGAAGTGGTGAATGCTCCAATACTGGAAGTTTAACACTGCAAGTTTTTAACAAGAGACTGGACAGCCATTTGTCTGAAATGGTATAGGGTTTCCTGCCTGAGCAGGGGGTTAGACTAGATGACCTCCAAGGTCCCTTCCAATTTTATTATTGTTGTTGTTGTTGTTGTTGTTGTTGAAGGAACAGTGTATCTTACAAGGCCCAATTTCTAAATAATAGTTTTTTTCAACCTTTATGCAATGCACTGATTTCCAGAACAATGACATGAACTTTATATGAATTAAATATGCCTATGCACTATTATAGTTTCATTCTTTCCTTTTTTTTCATAGTTGTGTTTAATTAGTTTGGGATGTGTTCCACTACCAGTAATTCTCTCACATCAATAAGAAGAGATCGCAGAATCTCAGAATTGGGGAGGTAAAAGAGACCACAAAACCAGTCTAATCAAACCCGTTATTTGCACTAAAAGCAAACTATCATCTTTAACAACTGATTGTCCTGCTTCTTCTTTAAAACCTAAAAAAAAAAGATGGAGAAACCACAACCTCACTGCTAGACATTTTTTTATTTTTAGTGGTAAAAAGAAACTTTAAATGGTTTGATGTTTATTAATAAGCATGCCTAAAACCATCAAAAATAATTAGCTTATTATTTTGACAATATTTTATTTAGCTTGTTAATCTTACATAATAAATAAGCATAAGAAATTTACAGTTTAATGGAGTAAATATTCTTCAACAATTATGAACTGTTTATGTATTTTTTTCTTTACATTCTGAATGCCAAGTAATTGATTTTTTTCATTACATATAAAAGAAACAGAACAGAATTTTGTTGCTTCTGATTTTGAACAAGTAGAAGAATTGTAAAATATCCCAACCTAATGTACAGATCCAGATATATGACAACAGTGTGGAACTAGCTTGATATTGCCTCCTTCAATGATAGTTTACTTTCCAATCTAGCCTGCAATCTTGGGATTTACATTCTGTATCCTGAAGCAGATTTGCATTTTGCTTAATTAAAATACACTAATTAGACTGAAAGGATTGTTGAGCCCATTTGATTACAGGATTTACATGTCTGGGTGATGCTTTAGATCAATTAATAGCAGAGTCGGGAGAATAGTCAGTCCAATACATTCAGATTCCAGAGCATTATGTAGAAAAATTATATTACCTAACATGAGGAAAATGGATATTAAAAAACTAAAAAGCAGAGTGATATGAAATTTACATGGATGTTATAAATGGAGAACATGGCAAGTTTCATAGCTCTTGATGCACAAGCTTCAGAACTATAGACCTAAACCTGCTTTTTATAAGGAATATAACTTTTGACTTTTATAAAAAATTTTAAATGAAAGTTAGAATTTAAATTTACCAAATATAGAAGTTGCAGCAAAGGTTTTCAAACTTTGCTTCTTTATAAGTTGACATTATAAATATTTGTAACATTTTTGTTTTGAAATCAAATATAATAAAAGCAATGAAAATGGAATATTGGGGAATCACTGCACACAGATTCATGGGATCTTGTGTAATAAGAAAAAATGCTGGGAAGGAATTCTTGAATTAATCAGAATTAATCAGAATTATTGATTGAGAACAGGAAATATCAGAATCCAGTCATCTCTCCTCTCTCAATGATCCAGCCCTCCACCACTCACCCATCTGGCGTAAGCCACTGAGATAGCTGCTACTGTTTCTTTCTTCTGTGGATGGCAGGTGGGGCACAGAAAGGTTAAATATCCTTTCTAAAACTCTTTATATTAAACACAAAACTTTGTGATTGGACAGGAGAAAGTAGTTTGATCACATGATTCACCCTGTTTTAAAGTAAGGTTGTCAGTACTTCCCCACCTCCTTTTCTACCAAGATATTTTACAAGAGCAAGAACCAAAGAGCTGTTGTTTTAAAAAGCTTGACACATAGCAAATTTCTGGCATGACCTTTTGGAAACATAAATTAATAGAAAATTCATTAATTGGGGATCAAACAAATAAGCTAAAAATAAAACTGAAATACCAGTCATTTGTTTTATATAACTGGGGGATGGAATTGTTAGGAGAGCAAGGGTAACATGCCATGGCACAATCTTCATAATGTACATGTGTGATACAATTTCTGTCACAATATCACCATGGCTCAAATCAACATAATCTGCAAGGAGGTTCAGAATTTGTCCTAAATTAGTGCGCAGCATTAGAATCTATAAAGTTTACTAAAAAAAGGCTTTTTATAAAACACAACAGTGTCGTTTTGTATCAAAATGATCCAGACATGCTTAGGTTTTTCAATTCCATTTTCCATATATTTTTACCCAAATTAAACCATATAGATCATAAATAACTGACTAAAAGTCAATTTAAGGTCTCTCATCGTATCTATAAATATACAGTATAAACCTTTTCATTCTTATACAGATGTAATGATTTCATATTTTTTGAATATTGAAAGTTTATAAGCTGACAGCAGTCTTTAATTCTGAAGGCAGAATTCTCTATTTAAATTCCAAGTATGAACATACCTCATTATAGTAGAGTATATAACAGCATTTTTCCTGAATATAATTTTTAATTGAATTAGATTAATATGCAATAGAATATGCAAAATCATAAAAGAAGATCCCTCTCTGTATTCACTTTTAAAAGGTCGCAGAGCAACAGGATTATTTGAACCACAGTAGACCATGTATTACAATTACAATCTGGTGGTTCTAATACTTTTTTTTTAATGCAAAACTGTGCATAAAGGCATTTTAGAAAACAGGTAAAATATTACTATACAGTTGTCTATTAGATTTATTTTTATGAGGCAGTTAACAACCAGAGTTGCAAGAGGAAACACATTTTAATATAACAAAATAAAAATTCATGTTTTAGCATAAATATATTTTTCCAGAACATTACCTAAATGAATATAGAAATAGGCACTCGTTCAAAACATAGTAAACTAATTCTATTTGATAATATAGTCTTGTAATGTTATAACTACAGGATTTATTTACCACTGCTGTTTTCAGCAATAGTTGTTTCAGGAAAAGTGTAATAATTTGCAGATTGTTATTTTAACTGATTAATAGGAATAAAAATAATTTCACTCAACATTATTGCAATATATAAATTTAACTGATGAGTTTAAATTGCCTGAGTAATCTGAGTAAATTAATTAACATATTTTTAACTTTGTACTTTGGAAAATGGTGCAGTTGTGATTTTGGTGCAGTAGCAAACAATTATTCTGGTATTGGTAATACAGACATCTCAGATCTCTAGACATGATTTCTTAAAAAGTTTCATAGTATTCTGAAAATCAGGCTTCTGCTTCAAAATGAAATGAAAACCTAGCTTGGGGCAGACCATGACAAGCCCGTTCCTTGCATTAATTTTTATCTCATAGATTTTGCAAGTAGTCAATCTGACTTAATACTGTATTAATGACTGTGGATTTTGAATACTAAAACTATAACAATAAGCTAACCATCTATTTTCCAATGCACAAGTTTTCTACTTTAAATGAGAGTTTGTCAGAAACCAACTAAATTTAGGGTGGTTTCATATATGTTATTTGGGGATGATTTGTGCATATGGCTGTTTTCCTCTTTTTATAATAAAAGTGATGTGTCACCAATTATATCTGTCCTGGTTGCTCAGGTTTTCCAGTCACACACTCCAAAATCATTATCTTTCAGCAGAAATTTCCAGTATGAGAAGATATTCAATACTGAAATGAAAGAACAGTTTGACCACTAATAATAAAATATGGGTCCCAGTAAAAAGGTGCTTTGAATTTCTAGAACGGTCTTTTCACCATTTTGGAACTATGTACTTCAGCTCAGGGCACAATTTATCCCTATCTGAAATTTGAAGAACCTTACTTTGGCACTGTGAAAATAAAAGTGCATTCTCAATTATTTGAAAGGATAATACTGAGAACAAAAATTCCTTTAACATAATCTTCTTTTTCCACAGTAGCAAATGTTTATAAAATCAGAAAGCAAATAAAGTGTATTTCAGGAAAAATGGTTTAAGAAAATGTCTATTATGTTTATTTGATGTGTAACAAGGTGCAATCAGTGAGGACGTTTTGTTTATTGCACAAGATAACAAAACTTTTCACAGAAATAACCTTATACTGGTTCTGGCTGTACTTAGAACACTCACAATACTGCCTTTTGTTTGGAAACACTGCCTTATTTCAGTGAGGCAAAAAACCTAGTCAATTAAAACTAAATTGTACAGGTAGTCCTCAACTTACAATTCATTTAGTGACTGTTCAAAGTTACAATGGCACTGAAAAAAAGCGACTTAGGACCGTTTTTCACACTTCTGACCATTGCACTATCCCCATGGTCACATGATCAAAATTCATATTTATGACTCATATTTATGTTGGTCGCAGCGTTCCAGGGTCATATGATCACCTATTGTGACCTGACAAAGTCAATGGGGAAGCCAGATTCACTTAACCATGTAAAATGGGGCAAAATGTCTCACTTACAAGAGAAATATTGGGCTCAATTATGGTCATAAGTCAAGGACTACCTGTATTGTTATGTCAGTATATATTATACATAAATTTTAATGTACATTACACACACATACATACATGTGTGGACCTATTAGGGTTTTTTATTATGTTCTTAAAAATAGGAAAATGTGTTTCAATAGTTACATCCAGCTAATAGTAGCATATTCCAGTAATTGCATGCAGAAGTTCTCTTATCCACACAATTTTTGTGACCTGCAATCAGTTTTAGGAGCAGGACCATATGAACATGGTTTCCTTTATATGTATTCTGGAGTGCTCCCAAAAAGATTCTGAAGAGTACTTATTGTGAATTCTTACAACATAAAACATTTTTAAGTGTTTAGACTGTTATTCTCCAGATAAAAAAATCAACATAATATATATTCTACTAAAAATCCAAAGTAAATTTTACAGGCCTGAGGAGTATCAGATTATCATTTATTCCTTCTGTGAATGCATTTTATCATAGCTTAACAAGCCAACTGCCACAATGTGTTGGGTTAAACACACACACACAAAACCCTCTGGAAAAGGATTACTGCTGAAATGAAAGAAATTGAAATCTCATTATCAAAGCAAAATTAGCAGAATACATCTTCTCTACTTTCTTGGATCAGAATTAAAGGAAATGTTGGATCTATTCTTTTATCTAGAAGTTGTATCTGAAACAGAAAAAGTTCTTCTTGGTTTTCAGAGATTCTTTAAAAAGGTTCATATAATAACTTTAGTACAGTGTCAACTCTTTGGTAGATATTTCAAACGGTAAGCATGGAGTTTTTAATTGTTCAAAGATGCATAGTTGTCATGCAGGATGGCAATTCTTGAGTGCTTTGATAAAATATATTAAAGTCAGAGGGATTAAAATGAATGATTTGTAAACATTAATGTTCCCAGGATATTGAATAAGGATTACTTGAAAAAACTGCCATAAATAAGTATATCCATTTAGCAGGCATGTTAACATAATTGTAGAATTGAAGTTGATAAGAAAACCATCTTTGTACTGATACTTGTAAAATCAAGGTGTAAACTTTAAGAATAATAAAAAATATCATCTGTTACATGGCTTCTTGATGGCAGAGTCAACCTGCAGAGATTAATTAGTAATAAAACAACACTGACGTTTTCTGTTTCCTCACCTTAAATGTATTACTTTACATGGCTAACCTACAAGTTTGTACCCACTGACCTTGAACTTTCCTTACTGGCTACAGCCATGCATATTCATGCTCTCTGGAAACTATTCCAATTTGTTTATTTTAATTTAATAATAGGCTCAATTATTGTTACCTTCCACTGGCTATTATTACAGAAGTTCCAATATAATGAGGAAGTGTGGATTCTTTGTGAGTTTCAGGGGAAGAAGCTGATGAGGGGCTTTGGTTTTTGTAAAACATATTTACTTCCTCAGAATTGTGTCCATAATTTTCTGTTATGTGGCCTGTCGCCATGCATGAAGAAGTTTGAAATGTGCCATGTTTGGCTAAAACTCGGTGATAGTTCAGAAAGACAAGCGGAACCTGTCCTGCATGTCTTACATCCACCGTATGGTCGTTTTCAGGGTCACTGTCAAGCTTTGCAATCATTCTGTCCTCAGATTCCAGCTCACTTAAATTTGTAGCATGAGTAGCAATATTTTCATATTTTGGTTCTTTCATATAAATTCTTCTTGCTTGTTCATATACTGTAGGAACTGGGACAAAGTGACTTAACTGTCCAATTGACTTATTTTGGAAAGATTCTGATTTTGATAAAAAGGAATTGGAGGAATTTGAAAAGGCCTTTTCACTAATGCTGTTTTTTTCTTGCAAGTCTCTGTTGAAAACTACTTTACTTTCTTCTTTAATGAGATGGTGTGCTGGACAAATTCTGCTTTCTGTTTTGCTGTGTTTTATAATGCCAGAATCGTAGATTTCTTCTTTGTATTTGCTATTGGGTGTCAAGCTAGCACAACTTGTAAAACTTTCAGAGGTACTTTCATGGTTGTATCGTCTATGTGGTAGTGGCACTTAGGGGGAAAAAAAGAAATACATTAGATGAACAGGATTCAAAAGATGAAGAAAAAATAAAAAAACTGCAATTTCTATATCTGAATATAAATCATTAAAAACAACTGGGTACATTTGTCATTAATTTTAGAATAAAATGCTGCTGGTATCAACATTAAAAGAAATGAATAAGCAGCTACACTCTAAATGCAATTGTCAAAAGAAAAAGGAACACTATTCTGTACCAAATTTCAAGATGAAGCTGAAGCAGCTTCTCAAAATCTCTAAAGACCAAAATTATTAATCAAGTGAACCTGAATTGTATTCACAATTGTAATTCATACCAAATATGCCAGATTTCAAAGATGAAAATATTTTGTTTCTATTTATCTGCCATGTTTTTTCTATTTTGTAGGAAACTGCAAAATAAACTCCCAGTTTCATTTGTAGTTAATTATATTAATTTTAAGAAATTCTTTCTTTCTTTCTTTCTTTCTTTCTTTCTTTCTTTCTTTCTTTCTTTCTTTCTTTCTTTCTTTCTTTCTTTCTTTCTTTCTTTCATGAGATCTTAGTCTTTGACAGTTAATATTGTGAGAATATGGTATTGCCTTCTCTACAATATACAATTATCAGGAGGCCTAAACCAAGGCTGTACATCTTCATAGACCGAGATGTTCAGATCTATGAACGCATCCTGTAAAAAATAAGTGTAAATCTAGGGTTTTTTTACATTAGGCTTTTATATTGACAAAACCACAATAGATATAGATAAAAATACCATTATTTTTAATGTGGGTGCCAATATCCAAGTGCAAAATATAAGAATTGGTGCAACAAAATTTGCCAATGATTTAAAGAATTCTTGAATCTGGAGTTGTCTTTCAGACTCTAGATTTAATATGACAACCTTTGACTTCCAAGAGTTCAATTACAATAACTATACAATGAGAGTAGCTGTAAATCCTATAAAAATACAAATCAGGATCTGATAATTTAATCTAAAGTTGCTTATATTATCAAACATTTTATCCAAATGTTCTCTATGACATGTTATTAGAATCTAAAAATGGTTTAAAATCTAAACATTATTCTTAAATTGCTTGCATAATACCCACCTTCATAATTTTGTAAGAGATTATGGCGTACATTACATGCTGACTGATCAGGACTTTTACATGGTGATTGACTCCCTGGAACAAGAGAATTGGTGTAGTGCCATTGGCACTCTCCACTTGTCTGCAATGTACTTAAGAAGAACCGTGCTACTTCACAAGGTGTTCCTTGAGGTTGGCCAAATTTAGAAGGCAGCATTTGTTTTTTGCTACTGAATACATGAGAGTCTACAGGGAAGTGCCCATAATGATATGAGAAAGGCAAGCTGTACGGTGGGGTGTATAAAAGTTCACTGTTTTCTGAATGAAAGGCTTGTTCTTGGATGGTGGCAGAGTTTGCTATGGAGCTAGATCTCCAACTTCCAATTTGGCCACATTCCAGCTTCTCTGTCTGGAATGAACCGTATTGCTGAAAACGAAAAGAAAAGAAAGTGTTTAATACTGGACTCTGAAATCTGTCAGTACTGCAGAGTAACAGAATGCATGCAGCCAAGTAATCACCTTGAAACACACACACTAAAAGAGACAAGCTTAACAAGGCTTAATGTCTAAAGAGAGGGACCTTTATCAAGCTTTTCTGGGCCTCCTTCCATTCCTCTGAAAACCCTGCTCTTTAATCCTAGATGTTTAAAATAATCTATAGTTTTTAGTATAGGTAGTCCTCGACTTGTGACCACAATTGCAGAAGATTTTTTAAAAAATTCAGTAAGGATGCTGTCTAAACTGTTTTGTCAAATAGCATTTGAACCATGTAGATTTTAAATTTTTTATCTTAGGGTAAAAAAATGAGGAATAAAAAACTTTACACGTTTTGAAATGGAACAGAGAATAACAAAGACCAACTGGGTCAGGCTAGGAGACTTTCTGTCTATTTTTAATGCAAAGAAGTGCAATCTTCATAACATAATCAACTAAGGTATTATGAGAAATAGTGCTGTGGCACCAAAAACAATGGTCTCTACAAGCCAGCATTTGATGAGATGTGCAGTAAATGGGAGCAGTGAGGAAATCTTTAACCCTGACTAGTGTCAGTGTCCAAAAAGAAAAATACTTTACTAAAATTACATACAACAATTATCACAAGAGTATGTTATTGATATAACCATGCCATTGTGATATTAAAAAAATCTATAGAGATAATAGAGTAATAGCAAAGATCAACAGTAATGACACTACAGCAGTTATTACTCTTGTCCCTGAATATATATGGACCAGTATGTCAATTTGTAGATTACAAAAAGTGCAAATATTGATAATTTGAATAGCAGAGAAAGTCTAGTGACTAGTACGCCCATTCCTCTAATAACTGTGTGCTATTCCAGAAATCAGGTGGTGAAATGGTCGTTACGTGAACTTGTGACAAAGAAAGACACTGCAAAGATTACTGGCTACTGCCACCTTTTTCAGTCTCATACAGCTACATCTGCATTACTCTCATTCTGATATGCATTTTGTCAGGCACACAAAATTTGGTTGTAGATGGATGCATCAGTCAGAAAATGAACTTTTAAATATTGCTATAAACATATTTGTAAATGGTCACAAACTGATGTAGTCAATTTGTAGTCACTATATATGAACAGTTTTGTCCAGAGGGAAGGGGGGAAAAATACCTGCTGTGGATAAGGAGTTGGTCTGAGTTTCATCTTCATTTTATTACTCCTAGGTTTTATTGCTTTTCTTGTTTCTTGTGAGGTAGACATCAAATTTCTGCATGAAAATTGTGATTTAGAAACGGCAATTTGGTCCAGTGACAATGGAAGTTCCTTATATTCTATATCTCTGCAAGACAACAGCATAGCAACAGGTTGATTAACCATTTCTCATTGAGTTTTGCCAAGAACCCATCCATATAAACACAGTATTAAATGTTTTATCCAAAAACCATATATTAAAATGAAATCCCATACAAAAAGTATAGAAGATTGCCTTGAAATTTCCGGCAACTATCATTCATAATCTATGAAATTTAAATCAAAATCCTCAAAGTTGAACCCCAAAGTTATTTCCAGAGAGGAATAATTTAGGAACATGCAATTATAGACTTGTTCCCTGGTTGAGGTTGCACAGAACTAAATGGACAACTGACAATATAAAGTTAATTTATAATGTTTCCATATAAATAGCAATTATGTACACATTCAACTTGTATATAAACTCAAGATATAATGTGAGCACAGTCTGGATTGAAAGTCTACTGTTAGGCTAAGACCAAGAACAATGAAGAGCGATTCAGCCAGAGTTCAGTTTGCTCAACAACAACAGATAGAATCTCACCAAATTAAACTTACTACTCTCACCCTAACCAATACATCCTTATTTAGTTTCCATGTCCCCTATCCAAATCCTGGGAGTACTGCCTCTTATCTTGCCATCCCCCTTTCTGGAATATTCTCTCTCCTCTCTGGGAAACTGCTACTTTATTGAGGTCCGTTACACCTTAGTATGCATGGTATATACTTTCTTCAGATTATTCTAGGAAATGACCAGATTATTGTAGGAAATGACCAGGTGGAGCCCGAAGGTCAGGTCAATTGCATCGTAAGTATGGAATCCTTACACAGCCATAAGAGACCTAAGTCCATACCCCTGTGAATTCTGTTGACTCTTATCTAGCACCAATTTGCCTTGATTGTTGGTAGATCAGATTCGTTCTTGTGTATAAATAGCATGCAACAAACTTCTAGTGCTTTGAACTCAACTGCTGTTCCTAGTTACTTGCGCCTTGGTTATAATGTCAATAGTTGATATAACAGCTCAGTTTAAAAATGTCTGAACCAACATTTCTAATTCCTGCCACAATATATTGCTGTTATCAAGCAAGCCAGCACAGAGAGGTCTTTGGCTTATCTAGTCTATATGTGAATAACTCTTGCAAAGGCTGACGCAAATTATATGTAGAAACTTATTTAGTGGCTTTGCTGTGTTACCAAAACAGGGAAAAAATCATGAGAGATACCTTGAATGTTGTATATTAATCAGGCATTGGGTATGCACAAAAGCCTCCCACCTATTAAAAAAGTGGAGATATATCTAAAGCAGGGGTTCTCAACCTTGGCAACTTTAAGACTTGTGGACTTCAACTCTCAGAATTCCTCAGCCAGCAAAGCTGGCTGAGGATTTCTGGGAGTTGAAGTCCACAAGTCTTAAAGTTGCCAAGGTTGAGAACCCTGATCTAAAGGTAAAGGAGAGTGACAGGGACAAAGGGAGGGAAGGAAGAAGGAAGAGCAACTCTACAGTGAATAAAATGACACATGTTAGTTCATAAAGTGGCTGAAACAATCAGGCCCTAAGATTATGACTCCAGGATAATTGGGAGTAAGAGATTTTTCAGAACCCATCCAAAGATCAATTAAAACTTTTTCTGCCGCAAGTGGAAAAGAAACTACATCCCTTCTGGAGAATACTAACAAGCAATTGGTAGCTGCTTGTCTAAGACAGGCATTGAAACAAACAGTAGATGATACTAGAACCAAAAATGGTTTATTGTCATTCCCTTATATTGTCCCATGACAATATAATGTATTTTTAAAATTATCAACCCCCTTAGCAAATGCAAACAAGATGAAAAGGAGCTACAGTTATACATCTGTCAGCCTATAATTGCAAGAAATGAGGACTTACGTTAGGACATAATTGACACTCACTATGCAGTGAGGTCTTGATGAGCGGCTATTATGTACAATAGTGGCATAGCTCTGGATCCAAACCCAGCCACCATTTTTTGACAACAACCGATAGTACTTGGTTGTGACTTGTCCTTTCACCAACACTATAAAAACATTAAAGAGATTGAATTACATTTATGTTCTGCCTGGTCCAAAGCTTCTTGGCTTTTGTAAAATTACAGGACTGTAACTTTTCAGATAAGACTGTTCTTTTTGTTTTTTAAGAAAAGGAGAGAATCGAATCGAATATACATAGGAGAACTTTTTCAAGCAGGAAAAGAAACATAATTCTCTATGTTAGTTTTTACATATAAATATTTTTTGCCCAAATCTAACACAAAAATCCACTGTGTAATTAATATAACAATCCTACATATGTTTACTCTTAACTCCCATGTTGTATGCTTACTTTAGGTTACCTTGATAACTTCTCTTATATCTTATTTTCTATATGTATAAAACACAGTCTCAAATCAGCCAATAGTTTGGTCATCACTGAACTTACTATTAACATTTCACATACAACTATTGATCTAAAATATTAAGTCATAGCAAAGAAAAATTTGGATTACATATCCTCACAATGCCTCCATTGCAACCAATACTGTTTTTGCAAAGCATGTTCATGTAATAAAAACAGAAATGTTGGGTTTGGAATTTTTTGACATAAAATAATACATTTATGGCTGCAAAAAAATTAAATTTAATATATTTTATTTTCTTCTCACCCTCATTCCCATTTGTCAGTTGATGCAACATAATTTCATTCATAGCAATCTTTCAGGAATCCACATCCTTCTCAAAAAGAGAGTAATTTTATTTTGATCTAAGTTTTTCATTAAAATAGGTTGATCAGATGAGAAATCTCAGATATATTTTTCTAGAAAAAAATCTTCCTTTATATGCTGACCAAGATTTTTGATGGCTGATCAAACCGCAACTAATTTATTGTATATGAAACAAAATACATTTTGTAATGCCAACAAACCAGGGAGATGGTTGGCTTACCAATTGAGAAAGAAACAGAGACAGAGAATTATAGACAAAATAAATTATAATGGTAAATTGGTGTATCAGAAGGAGTTGATTAAGAAATCTTTTTTAGATTATTATCAAAAACTATATAAGAGTACTAACGTACAAACTTTAGATATAAATAATTATTTAAGTGAAGCCAACTTCCCCAAATTAACAGAAGATCAGAAACAAGAAATTAATGGTTTAATTACTAGTGAGGAAATTGTGACAGTGATTAAGGAATTAAAATTAGGTAAAGCACCGGGTACGGATGGCCTGACATCTATTTATTATAAAACTTTGCTAGAAGAGATGATTCAACCTTTATGTGAGCTTTTTAATAATATATTACAGGGTTTAGAGACTCCTCCGTCATGGGGCAGAGCCTTTATATCTTTAATTCCAAAAGAAGATCAAGATCTTACTTTACCAAAGAATTATAGACCTATATCTCTTTTAAATGTAGATTATAAGATTTTTGCAAAAATCTTAGCCAATAGGCTCATGAGGGTTTTGCACCAGCTTATACATAAGGACCAAACGGGTTTTATAACTGGTAGGTATATGAAGAATAATGTTAGACAAATTATTAATTACTAGAATATTTAGATAAGAATAACCAAGTTTCTGCAGGACTGATATTTTTAGATGCTGAAAAAGCTTTTGACCAATTGAATTGGCAGTTTATATTAAGATTAATTGAGGATATGAATTTTGGAAAAAAAATCTTACAAGCTCTTGGTGCTATATATCAAAAACAAACGGCACAACTTATAGTCAACGGGGGTTTGTCAGAGGTTTTCACAATAGAAAAAGGGACAAGACAGGGATGTCCATTGTCACCATTACTGTTTGTTTTAACTTTCGAAATTCTGCTGATTAAAATTCGAGAATCTCAGGAAATAAAAGGAATAGAAGTTAATAAAAAAGAATATAAACTAAGAGCTTTTGCAGATGACTTGGTGGTTACCTTGTCTCAACCTATCTATTCTATAGTAGAGTTGTTACAATTGATTTACCAATATGGACGGGTTTCGGGATTTAAAATTAATAATAATAAGACTAAAATATTACCCAAAAATATGACTAATTTGGATAAGCAGACTCTGGTTAACTTGACAGACTTTGAAGTTGTTGATAAGATAAAATATTTGGGGGTCACTTTATCTGTTTCTAATGTAAAATTGTATAAAAATAATTATGAAAGATTGTGGGTCAGGGTACAAAGAGATTTGAAAAATTGGGAGAAGTTGCATTTATCCCTTATGGGAAGAATTGCGGTGATTAAAATGAATGTCCTGCCAAAGTTTCTCTTTTTATTTCAAATGATACCTATCTTAAAGAATGAGGTTAACTTAAATGAATGGCAGAAAGGTATCAATAAATTTATTTGGGCAGGGAAAAAATCAAGAGTAAAGCTTAAAATTATGCAAGATATTCGTGAGAGAGGTAGACTCAAAGTACCGAATTTGAAATTGTATTATGATGCTGTGGCTTTAACATTACTTAGTGACTGGGTTAATTTAACAAATGTAGAAATACTCCACTTGGAGGGTTTGGATTTACTTTTTGGATGGCATGCCTATTTAATTTTTAATAAAAAAGTTGACCGGGTTTTTAAATCTCATATTATAAGGATTTCTTTACTTCGGGTTTGGAGGAAATATTATAAAAGTGATTTTAAAATACCATTATGGGCTATACCTTGGCATGCGATAGAGGGGATAAGGAGAGGAGTTAAGATGGATAGTGTTTCTTATGCACAATTACTCAGATGGGATGGTAAAAATTGGCAGTTAAAATCTTTGGAAGATTTAGCACATGAAAATATTACATATTCATGGTTTCAGTATAGACAAATAGTGGATAGATGGAAGATAGATCGTAATATGGGTTTGCTTAGAGAAGATGAAAATCTTTTTAAACAAGTAAAAGACCAAAGGCGAACTCATATTAAGAGAATTTATGGGGTGCTAGTAGAACTGGATTCAGAACCAGAACTAATTAAAGAATGTATGATTAAATGGGCACAAAATTTTGGTGAACCAGTTCTACTAGATACCTGGGAAACCATCTGGGTGAGGAATGTTAAATTTACACAAGCCCAGAATTTAAGGGAGAATTTTTACAAAATGTTTTATAGATGGCACCTTGATCCACAAAAAATGTCTCGTATGTATCCTGACTTACAGCCTAAATGTTGGAGATGTGGTTGTTTGGATGCTACTTATTATCATATTTGGTGGTCGTGTAAAAATATAAAAGCTTTTTGGATTAAGATATGGTGGAATATTCAAAGAATTTTTAGAAGGAGGGTAAAATTTACCCCACAATTGTTTTTGTTGGGTATCGTTACTGATTGTGATGTTAAGGAGGTTATACTGATGTTAAATTTAATCACAGCCGCAAGGTTGTTAGTAGGGCAATACTGGAAGAAGGAATCTTTGCCTACCTTGCAAGAATGGTTTTTTAAAGTTTCTTATTTGGCGGAAATGGCAAAGATTTCGGCTTTTTTAAAGGATCAATCGCAAGAGAAGTTTTTTGCGGTATGGGAAAAATGGATAGATTTTATACAACATAAGTTGGATATAAAAAAATATTACTTAGTTTTTCAATAACTTATATATAAATCTTAATATTTTATAGATTGTATTTTTTTTCTTCTCTTTTCTTATATTTCTTATTTTTATTTTATCTTATTTTACTTCTTTTATATATATATATATATAAACATCTTTTCTTCTTTCTTTTCTCTTTTATTCTTTTTCTTTTTAAGCATTTTTCTTTTTTAATATTTATGCTTTTTTTTACATATATATTATTGTTAATTATCTTATAAGCTTATGTAATGTATTTAGATATATTTATGGTTTATACTTTTTTAATCTCTTTTTAAGATTTTTAGAAATTTTAATTAAGCCTATATTCAGCTCTGGGAAGGTTGGGGGGATGGAGTGGGAGGGTTGGGGTGGTTGGGTAGGGTTGTTTTTTGTTTTTTATCTTTTCTTTTCCCTATTTGTAAAAATTTTAAAAATTTTCAATAAAAAAAAAAGATTTTTGAAATCTTTAAATTAACTGGTCAGACTTGGTTAATTTTCTACTTAGATACATGTAAGTCTTTTTTAAACATCTTTCTATCCCTTTGTTCTGAGAAGAAAAAGAATATGGGATTGATGGTTTTCCTTTCCATTATAAAGGTGGAGCAGTGAAGAAGCTATTAGCACTTACAAGGATGTCCACCTCTGTTGTCCAGAATATGATGAAAAAATTCTCTTGGAGAGAATTCCAATATATTGGACAGTGGTGTATGGACCTTTCTTCACTGTCATTGCCTCTATTCAAAAGGCTACTGAATTTATTAATTTATTTGTTCCATCAAGCCACCTTCCTTAATTATCTCCAGTTCCTGATATACCATGAGACTATTAAATGGACTGTTCTTCAGAGACAGGCTACTTCAACTATGTTTTCTTTATATCTTAATTCAACAGGCATCTGACCACTGCTTGAGAATTCTTAGTAATTCCTACTAATCCCTCTCTCATCAAAGCAAATTTTAAGACAATAAGAGATCATTTACACATCATTGATTCTTAAAGATTATGTTCAGAACATAACATCTCATGTACAATTGAGAATATAAGAGGGTAGAAGGCAGGGGCAGAATTGGTAGCAATTATATATTTCACATGTCAATTTTTTGAATGCCATGTCTGAAAATATTCATAACATATACATTCAATTGAAAACCCATCTATATCAACACTGCACATTATTTGTTTCCTATTACTTACAAAGGTGGTGAGCATATCGTAAATGAAACACATCACATCCATGCACATGGTGGTAAAGAGTTTTCTCTATCAAATCTTGTGGCTCATATCCAGTTAATTCAGTGACTCTAAAATGGAAAATATATCCAAGAAGCATTACTCTTGCAAACAAGTTGTCATTTTTTCCCAATTTCTAGAAATTGAAGTACAGATAGTCCTCACTTACTGACCATAATTGGGACTGGCAACTCCATCCATTAGCCTTTTATCAAATTGCTCAACTAACAGGTCACAGATGCAGAAACAGTGCTAAACCTATGTGCAAAATTAACCTGGCTAATAAGTTACATGTATAAAATAAGGGCATAGAATGAAGTGAGAGGGAATGATCAATCAGGAACAAGTTCTCTAATAAAAACAATAAAAAGCTATAGCAGCACCAACTGTTTGTTGATCAAAGCAGCAGCAAGCCTGTAATGCGTTCAGTGATGATAGAACCAGCAACATACAGCTGCAGACAATGTATCTTTTTCCTAGCTTAAATCAACCTTTGACCCAGATCCAGTAACTTTTCAAAAGTGCTAAATTAATACCTAAAAGGAGCTGTTATGAATTCCTCCACTGATTCTGAAACTAAAGAGAATCTAGACTACTTCTGGCCTACAATTCAAGAGGCAATAGCCTGTCAGCTATGTAGAAATAATGGGTGTGATTCAGTGCAGTTGGCCACTGATTCCGACAGTAACAAGTCAGAGCGAGATGTTGGAAGAATGTCAAGGCCTAAATCATATGCCTGCTCAAGAGGGCCAAGCAGCAAAGGTCACCGTGGCTCCTTGAGAAGAATGACATTAACTTTTCTAATTGAGCACCCAGGAATTCTATTTAAGAGCATACACGAGATCCCCCAGTTCACCTCCCCTTATTGGAACAACTTCCCTGCAAATACCTTATATTCCTTGTTCTGTGATGGGAATTTCAACTTGATATTTGGACTGGCCTTCATGGATCTCTCTGAAGTTGGATCCTATCTTGAACAATTCCTCTGTCCATACTCTCCTGGTCTAATCTGTCTTGCATGGACAGAGCGGACATGTACTTTGGAAAGCACACATCAAAATGGCCAGAGAGTAATGCCTAGTGACTGGAATGGAGGGGTGTTTTCACAGCAGCCTAGAACAGCCGATAAAGGCTGGATAGATCATAATCCTGACTACATAATCAACTGCATTATAAATGAAATGTGTTAAATTGTGTTCATGATAAAATTGTTTTGGGAGAAGACAAAATGCTGCTTTAAACTAGAGCAGCTAAAAATGATTTAAAGCTCCTGAGTTGTAGGCTGAAGATGAAATGAAGACATCAAATAAAGATATGAAATATAAAAAATAGTTGCCTGAGCATATTCATGCTTTAAATAGTGGGATGGGGGCAAGCAGAACTCTGTATGTGATAGGAAATATTTTTTAAAAATGCCTAAGTCAACTAACAGGACTCCCACTCAAGATGGCGATAGAGTGATAGTAATGAGCTGCTGATTTTTTATTCATTTTAGTTTTTGTATTTATATTTTTATTTAGTTTTATGTTTTATTTATATAATATTATATTTAGATTTAGTATTATAAAAGTGGTTTTAGTATTTTTCTTCATTTTATTTAATTATCTCCTTTTACTTTTAGGTTATTTTTTAATAATTAGAATTAATACCTACATTATTTTTAATTTTTTAGTAATCAGAAATAAGATTTTCTGGAACCATTGAGTGTTGTACACAATTTCAAATACTAACCAAGGATACAAAGTAATAGAACAAAATGCTGACAATGCATATTTGATAGTTTGCAGACAATTTTGGCAATATTTGTGGCAAATCCGTTTTAGCTTTTCAAATGTTCTAACATCTAACATTTGATTCTCTCAAAATCTAAAGCTCCCTTTCATATTGTGATTGAGTGAACTCTTCCTCATTATTTCTAAATTATGTTAATGTGGGAGCAATTCAGAACAAAGTACAATGAACTCAAATGTATAGTGAACTTAAATAGACTCTTAGGGCAGATATACTGTTAATTGTGCTTCCATACCTATAAAAGTGAATTCATTCAGTTTTGCTTACATAGCTGCTAAAAAGCAGTCATGGGTATTAAATAGGTAACTCACTTTCCTATCAATAAACAATTATTAAATATTTCCTATCAATAAACAATTATTAAATAATTAAAATGATTTGATTTAGCATGTAATCTAAATCTATCAATCCAAGGAGAACATTACTTCTTCAATTTTCTATATTGTATTGTTTGTTTATATTGTTTTAATTTTTATGCTTTTAAACTATCTTCTGCAAGTTATCCTAGCATGATGAAGAATTAGAGTAGTTATGTTTCAAAAACTTTTACTTACCTGGAATCCAAAAAGATAAGCTTTAAGTCCAGGCTTGCTCTGAACATAAACATATTACTATGAAGTTTGATCTCAGTAATTGCGCTTGGAGGTAGTGATTGGCCTACAGCAACCAACCCCACAATTTGGTAACAGGTGTCATACAAAGATATATCCAGCATATATTGCCGAATTTTCAAGTAGCCACTGCAATGGATCACCTAATAGGGACAAAAATAGTATTCGTAAAGAGACAGAAAATAGATCGCCTTTTGATGATATTGAGTCAAAACCCAGAATTTTTCTCTTTATTATTTATTTTTGCTGTCCAGTTTGTTAAAATGTCTGCTGCAAGAGACTATTAATTTTTAGGAATGGTGAATAAATATATTGCATGATATTAACTTAACATTGTTAAATTAATTTATAATTAATAAATTGATATAATTGACATATAAATTTGTATTAATTTAACAATGAACTGAGAAGACCCTGACTCAATATAGTTGCATTTAGTTAGTCCACGTTGGCTTTTCAAATTCCAATTTGTTGTTATTTTAACCATTCAGTAGTGTGTGACTCTTGGCGACTTTATAGGCAAATGTTCTCCATGCTACCATGACAAGCAGCTTTTTTCACTTATTCGATGTTCATCTTTGTATCAGATTTGATGGTATCAAGCCAGCAGCTTCTTTGCTTGCCCCTTCTTGTTCCTCTAATCATTTTTAGCACCATTGCCTTCTCCAATGAATTTGGATACATGACACAGTCAAAGTAAATTAGATGTAGGCTTATGGTTTTAGCTTCTGATGAGGTGTCTGGTTTCATTTGATTTAACACCCCTCTGTTAATCACTCTGTCTATGGTAATTTACACCAGCACCACAGTTCAAAGTTTCAATTCTTCTTCAATCAGCCATTCTTATTGTCCAATTCTCTCACACTCATACATCATTATAGGAAAGAGGTTTACTCTAACTAGCCTGCTTTTTGTAATTACATCAATATCTCTGCTTTTCCAGATGTTATTCATGTTTGTTTGTTTATTTATTTATTTATTTATTTATTTATGAGACTTATATACCGCTTTAAGTACAAGCACTCTCTAAGCGGTGTAAACCAGTAAGCAATGTATATATATATATATATATATATATATATATATATATATATATATATATATTACATTGCCCCCAACAATCTGGGTCCTCATTTTACCTACCTCGGAAGGATGGAAGGCTGAGTCAACCTTGAGCCGGTGAGATTTGAACCGCTGACCTGCTGAACACAGTCAGCTAAAGTGGCCTGCAGTACTGCACTCTAACTGCTGCGCCACCTCGGCTATTGCAATACGGCTTAAGGTTATCCTGTGTTTGATTTCAGGAGCAGAACTGCCATTGTGAGCAATTTTTGATCCAAGGAAGATAAATTGAACTAATTCAGTTTTCTTCATGTTGATTTTAAACATCTCATGTCCATCAGCAGCTGTGGCCATTATTGTTGTTTTCCTGATGTAAGACTCAATCCTACTTTTTCACTTTTGTCGTTGATTTTCCAGATCATTTTTCCAGGTCTTCCTTATTTTCAGCCAATAGTGTTGTATCATCTGCATACCTCAAATTATTTATGGTTCTTCCCCCAATCTTCACTCCAACATCAGGCAGTTCCAGATCTAATTTCTACATAACTTCTGCAATAAAATACATCCCTATATAACTGCCTTACTGATCCTGAACCAATCTGTGTCACCATCAAGAGTTCTCACTGTTACCTCCTGGTTTGTGTACAATGATCTGATAAACCTGATTAGGTGGTTTGGGACACCAAGATCATACAAAGTTGCCCATAGCTTATGTGCTATCATCCAAAAGCTTTGTTGTAATTGATAAAACACATGTATAGATCCTTTTGATATTCAAATTCCAATTTATTTCACTGCTAATAAAGAAAAATAAATGTTCAGTATTTCTGAATATTGTATTACTTAGTATGTGTTCTAATACAAAATGGAGAGGCACATGGAAACTTAATGAAGCCTTTGTATAAAAAGTAACACATTATCAAGATGTTTCATAATGTATGTTGTGAAAACATATACATTAAGAGTGGTAGACAAAGATTTGTGCAGTATTGAAGGATATGAAAATGTTGCTATGATATATTTATTACATCATAATCACTCAGAAATAAACTTCATTGCCTTCATTATTTATAACTAAGCCTCAGAATACAAGCAATAAGAAAAATGTGCTTAAACACATTATTCAATAGATGTAACAAAAAGACACACATTATTCAACAGATGTAACAAAAATATTATCAGATTATTTCCAAGATTGAACTGGAAAAACCATTTTCCTTAATAGGACATGTAATAGAATTGTGCCATACATCAAAAATATTAACATTTGCTTAGGAATCCAAGTAAATGAATTTGGTGATACTACAAAGAATATCTGAATTAAATAAATGGAAGAAGAATAATAGTAATGTTGCCGGTATCCACTATTACCTGCCCAATCAAGGGGAAAATGCAAGTAATGCTTTCCAAAAACAAATGCCATTCTTTCAAAGATCAAACAGGTATGAAATAATAGTGATGACGGACTTCATCCTGATGTTCCAGAATTATTCTACTGAAAACTTTCACCTATGGGAAGGGAGGCAGGCACAAAAGGGTCAATTAACCTGGACTTGATAATTATCACTTGGAAAGATTTGGGGCTTATTCTGTCAGATTGCCTGTGAACCTAGCAATCATTTCTGGAGAGCAAATACACACCTCATTGCCCTGTATTTTCCCATTACCTTCCCTCAATGTCATCACTAGGCAGGTGTTCTTTTTTCTACTTTCTAAGTAGTGTTGGTTCAGGCAATGCTGCCTGGTTTGGTTGCTGTGAACTCTTCCTTCCAGGCCAACCCTGCAATTTGACTACATTACAAAAGTGGGGAACGATACTTTCCCAGTTTTTTCTAAATGACAGTCTGCTGCTACAATAGGCCTTTCCCATTAGCATGATGTATATAATACTTCCTTGATATGAAAAATGCTTTGTAATCTAGTAGGAATGTTTGAAGTTTTTATTTTAATTACAATTTTTCTTTCTTTGGGGGCTAGTTATATTTCTGCTCTGTTTCCAGTCAGGTAAAGTAAGGAAGAAAGCCTAGCAAGAAAGTTGGTAGTTTAGGAAAATAAAACAAATCTATATTTCTGCCACATTTTGAACCTATTTTACATACCAGAGAAACAACTATGCTTATAAGAAAGACGTCCTACAGCAGCTGTAGAAAAAGCTAGGAAAGATCTAGGAAAAATGTTTATGTTGCAACTTTTTACTATGCTTTCATATGTCACCATTTTGATGTTTTAACTTTATATATCTATACATTTGTATATGTATGTGTGTTGATAGTAGAAAAGACTATCACATTTATAGCTAAAGCCATTCAATTAAGAACTTCCTGTCTATATCAAATTTGGATCAACTAGTAAGGAGATGATATTACCTGATCATTTCATCAAATATTTTTATATTACATTTTTATTTGATTTGTTTTGATCATTAGACTAAACAATAAACTACTACATATACATATGCATATACTTATAAACACACACTATAGTTTGTTTAGTCTAATGATCATATCAAATAAAAATTAATATAATAATATAATATAATAACAATATAATATAACATAATAATATAATATAATTAATATAATATAATAGCATTTGATGAAGTAATCAGGTAATATCATCCCCTAAGCAGTTGACTCAAATCTGATATAGATAGGGAGCTCTTAATATAGAGAAAACAGCTAGAATACTGGAGAAAAATTAGCCATGTCATACTGGAATTCTTGGTCCTAATGGAAATTAGAATTTAGTGTAATTGAATTCTTTTCCCAGCCTAAGAGTTCAAGGTAATGATAGGTAGGATTCTATGGCAGAAGTCAGGAAAAAAACCATACATCAGAGATCTTGTGAAGGTATTAGTAATAGATAATTACTAACAAAGGAGTCAGTATCAAAATGAACAATTCCAATTCCAGGTAGTAATAGACTGAACAAAGAAAAAAGCCAGTATGTGGATGAAAACAAAAGGAGAGAAGGAAAAATTGAAAGAGAGGAGGCTAAAACCTATATGTCACCAAGAAAGAGTATACAGAGAATTTCTGATTGTAGAAATATCTTACCTCATTTCCTAATCCCCCAACTATAATCAGAATGGGGGAGAATTTCACAGTAAATTTTGTTTCACTATATCTCTTCCCAAAATTATTTTAGCTCAGCCTCCACTGGCCCAACATTTTTTATTGATGTAGTTGAGTGTATGAAATTAAATATTCTAAAATAATATTTAAATAAAACTGTGTTTTACCTTGTAACCACTACTTGTTAATCCTGCATTTCGTTTGGCCAAGACACACTTCATTCGCAGGAAAAAAGATCTCTCTATTTCATATTCTGCAGACAAAATATAAAGAGTTAAAATACAAGCATGCTACTTAAGTTTCTCCTTTGGCTACTGTCCATGTATTTGAAAATATTTTCTTACAATTCTTAAATATATAAGACAAGATAGCATTATTACTTTTGTCCAGTATGAATATATTAATGACCTTGCTCATGGTTGTTGTATTTCAACAAAATTAAATGCTATTAAATTTAATTATTGGCATGATAATGTTAAAAATCACTTAAATTATGATTCTCAGTAATGTGGTCACACAAAGGCAAAGTGTACTTTGTCTGTCATCTTCACTTTTTACAATGTCATGGGGAGAACCATGCACTCATCTAAAAAACAATCCTCTCATTCCGCTCCCATGTTGCTTACTCAGAACGAGCAAGCAGCAATGCACAATTATATAAATAGAATAGAAAATGATAAAAAATAGAAATGATAAATTATTCCAAAATAAAATGGTTTCATAAGACATACAAAGAAAAATACAAATGGCATCAGAGAATCATGGCACCATGGCAAAATAATGCTATAATCTATGTTATCCATTTAACTTCTTAAAAGGATTAATTTCTCATGGAGGATCCTGTAAGCTAGGTATAAGAGAAGTGCCTACATCTGTTAAAAGTCCCCTCATCAAACAGACCATCCCTCTTAGCAATATCTGTGTGTATTTGTGTGCTTGTGTATGTTATGGGCTGGGATTTTAAAGATTTAAATCTTTTCAATTGTTATTATTTGTTTTATATTTCAATAATTATTTTAATCAAACATTGTACACTGTTAAGGAACAGGATAAAAAATAAAATAAAAATTATTATTAATAGATTACATAGTTCTAAAATAACAGTATCCCCCAGATATATACCATGCTGATGATTCAACAGGATAGTTTCTGCAAGGAATAACTATAGATAATATTTTTACTTTTCCTTCTCTCTTAATAGTATATACATTAGCCATAAGCCCCAGTTATAAATTAGGAGAATTCCAGTCTATTTATTCAAACTTCATGCTATACTCAGATATAAAACTAGAAAAATAGCCGTTATATTTCTATCCATGCCTCTTTTTGTGAGCTTGATTCAAATCTACAGATCAAATTGAAGATATGTGTTTTATCTGAAGACCATATAATCCAGGAAAGAAATCTAAATATCCAACGAAAGTCAGATATTTATTTACATATCCAGTCTGAAACAAGATCCCAATTAACAAAAATGGCATAGCAATATATAAACACAAAACGCATATCTGTCACAGATGTAATTTTTAAAATGAATTATTTGTTTTTATCAAGTGTGTCTCTTCAATTATATCTTTCTGGTCTTTGGAGATTCAAAGACAACATGTTTGACTTCAAAAATAAATCTAAAATAAAATGTCCCCTGTATAAGTAAAGAGTCTGTTCTGTTCTATGTCATGGTCTATATAAAAAAAATAGGCATTGGTTATTTTTTGCAATGAATTGTATTTATTCACTCAGATTGCACATGACTATTAAACAAGATTCTCTACACACTTCTGTGAAATTACATTTGTGCCTTTTAGGACCACAAACTCATCCCTGAGATGACGGAATGAAATCAATCTTTCTTGCTCTCTTCTGTCTTTCATGTGTTTTCATACATTTTTCTCTGTGGCTCTTTTTGTAATTTCATACTGTGGGTTTTCACGCGCCCAGCGGTCTCCCATGGGTGTTGAAGAACAGACACGTACACGTGGTTTCCTCGGGATGGGAGCCTCGAACAAAGACGAAGCATCCCTTTTATTGTGTTATCAGAAGGCGGGTTTATAGGCACCTGGTGACCACCTTACACCAACCACATTTGTTATAACACAGCATATTAGCATATTACACGTGCTAACTTTGTTTTGCACACGCTACTATACAGCTGTTGCACACGGCACTAACAAACACCAAAACAACATTCCCTTGCACCGCACGGCACAAACTTGTTTCTCTCTTCTGTCTTTCATGTGTTTTCATACATTTTTCTCTGTGGCTCTTTTTGTAATTTCATACCCTGTAAATAATTGTTGTTCAGAACACAGCCTTTATTATTGGATACCTGTAGCTTATAATCCTAAAATTGCACTTAAGTATTCAAGTAAATTTGAAAAGCCACATATGCAACAAACAGTACAAATTTTGGCAGAAGAAGAAAGATGCTGTAACAGTATAGACCTTGGCTATTTACCAAGATTTTAGCATAAGGAAAGTTAAAGCGCAAAGCTCAGCCTGATATTTTACCATCTTTTTATTTAAACATTTAAGTAAAGCATGAAATACCTTGTAAAATACGGGGATGAAGTGGTTGGTGAGCTGTTAAAATGGCTGTCATTTCATCATGATCTGATGGATGTATATATTCATAAATGCTATTACCAGTTAGTTCTACCTGCCAAGAAAACAGTTAATAAAATCAGAATTACTGCAAGTTCTCTCATCTTTGAATACGATACCTCAGAAATCCTTATAAGTTATATGTTTGATTTACATATAATTTACTACGTTTTCTAATGTTACTTCGATTCAAAAGCAGCTGTTGACCAAAAATGATATTGCCTACTTAATTCTAACTATGGCAGTTCTAACTTATTGCACAGAAGATAGCTTGAAGATTATTGTATATATCTATATTGGAACTATCTTTTTTAATGTTAAGAATCTCTACAGTCATTTTTCATACTGCTATTATTTTTATTTTCCCATTCTTCATAAGGGAAGTTAGTTTTAAAAGCCTTTAAATACTTCTATAAAGCTAATTAGCAGGATTTGAGCATTTCAAATTAGCTACAGTATTTACAGTTCTGGATATAAGATATGGCTTGAAAATTGGATATACTCTGCAAAGTTTCACTAAGACTGGTATTTGTACTAGAAGACTTGCAGCCAGAGATTCAAGAAACAGCCTGATGAGTCCGGCTGTTTCTTGAATCTCTGGCTGCAAGTCTTCTAGTTTTATTGCCAATATTAGGGGAAAATATAGCAAAGAATCCTAGACTCAAATGTTATATATAAAAATGCAATGGTTCTCCAAGTTTTAATTTGCAATTCCCCCCCCCCCCCATCCATTTTTGGTTAGAAAAACAGTATGTATCCAATTGTTGTTAATGAATTACATTTGCCAGTTGTTACAACTGGCTCTGCCACTTGGCATTGTTGTGACCCACACCTGATAGATCCTAGGTTGTTCACCTCTTAAACCAGCCAACCATCATTACCTTACATTTAGTTTCTATTTGTTAATGCTAAAGAACATAAAAGTTGTTTGAAAGTCTCCCAGCAATAGATGTAAATTACAAAAAAACATGAAGTAGTTTCTCTACATTAGTGATAATCTATGCCATCTTCGCAAGACATATTGAACCAAGTCAACAACATTCGTGCAACCCCAAATCCCAGGTATATCCAGATTAGAAGGATACTTGTCACCTTATTATTTTAACCTAGACTTTGTATGAGGTTCAAACCTGGAAGGTAGATTAATTGATGCTATCTCTTTCTTTATTTCCAGAACAGAAATGCAATGCTAAAGGGATCTGCAAAAATCAGACTGCTCTAGCTACCCTCTTTATATCATCTATTTCACCAAAGGACACTCTGAACCCAGTTAGAAAGGATTTTGGTTGCATTGCATTTTTGAATTGTGAGCTACAAAGATGGCTGACATTTTAGGAGGAGAGCCATGTTGGCCTACAATGGCAGAAAGACAGGAGGAGTCTGATAGTACTTTTGCTGACTAACACATTTTACTAAAAGGCTGCTCATTTGATCAGATGCATGTTTCCCAACCTTGGCAATTTGTTGGCTGAGGAGTTGAGGTCCACACATCTTAAAATTGCCAAAATTCATAAACACTAGTCTAGACTGATGCAGGATTTAAATTGGGATGAGGATATGAGAACGATGGGAAAGATAATTTGGTTATACAGATGCAGGTTACATGAGAGACAAATTACAAGCACCTTATCAATTAACAATTAATGGGTAGCTGGGATACTCCATTTTAACCAGGGCTGTTCTTAATTTCTTTTGTCTTTTGGCTGATAACTGAGTTGTTTAATTATTTATCAATAGCACCAGATTTGCAATATCCACCTACAATTTATTTGCTTGTTTAGGAAAAAAAAGGTAAAATCAAACAAGGCAGGACATTGTATATTTCTGGCAAGATAATATTAGATACCTTTCCAACATAGCATTCAACAGAGGGACAAAAACTTATTCCTACCTGGGATAAACCTAGATGAACAGAAGCTGTTTCTGAGATATACATTATTTTGCCATCAGACGCTACCACAAAAACAAACCCATCCAGAGTCTGTAAAAAAAGAAAAGAAATAGAGCAAACGCTTACCACTTACAATTTACAGTCAAGTTCCTTGTGAGGAGTTTTTAATTTCCCCCTACAGAAGAACATATATTAAAAGGATATTACCTATATTGGCCTGATAAAGTCTTTATTATATACTTGCTATAAAAATCACTTCTAAATCATTCTCTTTTTAGGTATGATAATTTTGCATAGGCAGCAACTAAATTCACTGTATCAAGATGATAAAGTTTAAAATATTTCTTCATAGAAGTTCTGTTATTGTATTCTCAAAAGAGAAAAAAAACTTAATTGGCTGGAAGAATTATTCATATTTTACAAATTTAATTTTAGCTTGAGGGAATTTTTATGTTCTTCTGACTTTGTCTTTTAAATTAAAGTCTTTATAAATAGATGATTCTTTGAAAAATGGACTCTTGGAAAATTGTACATAAAATTAAAATACCTAGAAAATTTCATTAAAGTATGAAATTATAATTTCTAAAAGGATAACATGGAAATTCGTTGAAAATTAAAACTATAAATATGGCTATAAAATGCTATTTTGACCTATTACAAAATGCTTGTCTCAGGCCTCACAAATAGAATTTTAAAAATAACCAGTAAAAATGAAGTAACTTTCTAGTTTAAAATACCAAGTCTAACAAATTCAAATAAAATCAACTTTAAAAAATTAAAACTGCTTTAAAGCACTAAAGTGATATTCTATAAATTTCCAATCCCCAAAACGGGTGTTTGGAAGCAATTTAGAGTAGTGTAATCCAGTGGCAGAATATTTGCTTTGAATGCTGAAGGTCTTAGCTTTAATTCTTGAAAGTACAAAAAGCCTTACCAAAGCCTTACTCTATTCTGACTGACAGTGTTACTCCATGTTCTCAAGCAAATATTTTTACCTTTGTCAAAATATGTATTTCTTAAATATTTTTAAGGAAGGTTAAAAAAGGTTGCTTGAAAAATAGTGAAATTACCACAGTTCAGTGGCAGAAATCCTGCCATGCTCTTTTTTCCATTGCAATGTATCAGATGCCAAACATGGGAGAAACTCATTTAGGCCCTTGGAAGCCATTGCTTACCAGAGAAGACATCCCAAAGATTTTACCTGAAGTAAATGTGAACCCAGCTCCTTTGCAATGTTATCCAAGGGACCTAATCTATTTGGTTGTCCCCAGGCATCTCCCAAACCTGGAAAAAAAAATCAAGAAGCTTCAGTCAAGGCATAGATGACAATATCTCAAGTCATGGCTAAAAAGCAAGTGGCCTCAACAGAGAATGTGTGTGAAAGACAGAATGGTAGGATTTGTTAGGTGGGAGAATCCCCTCTATAGAGGCTAGGTGGCCTTTTCTTGTAGAACATCAAATCCATGATTGCTGTTTTGTTGCTAAGTCGTGTCCCATCAACTATACTATGGCATGCCAGCCCCCCTCCAATCCTCCGGAGTTTACCCAAATTCATGTTCATGCATGGATGACCATCTCATCTTCCGTCACCCCTTTCTCTTTTTGCCTTCACATGTTCCTTGGAGTTCAATTGCTATTTTAAGGGATAATTTCACACAACACAGATACGTTTCCCTCAAATTAGCCAACAGAACCTGACTAAATGCAGTTTCAAAAGAGTCCTTTTTTTTCACCTTCTCAGAATTTCCAAGTAACCACCACAGGTCTCAGTTAGCTTTGGGATACAGGAAAAGCAACAGCAGTCAAGTGGGTTTAGTCTCTTTGCTTAAACTGTGACTGCTTCAGTGGATTCATTGTGTTCCTTCTACAAGTTTTGTCTTTTTTTCCTTATAAACTCCAATTCAGACAAAAACAGAACAATCACAAAGTTTGATGCCTCGGTGTAAAGTCATTTGGTTTTCATCTTTCCTGCCTTTTCCCCTTCACAGGATATGCCAGCCCTCCTCTAACCCTGCTACCCTCCCCTCATAGTTTTCCATAGAAAGTACAAATGTTGCTACTTCACTTGAATCTGGGGAATGACCCTACAGAACAATCACATTCTTAATAAACAATCTGCCAAAACCTCTAACACCCACTAATGCATGGGTTCAAAAAAAAGTCTAGTGCTTCTGGCCATTGGAAATACCACAGCTAGCCATCATCTGGACAGTATAAATCCCACTCTCTTCCCCAAGCAAAGCACTTGTCACATGTATTGTCTGAAGAATCAAGACCATTAATTTATCCTGGTTTCTTAAGAATACCTAAATTGTCACCTATATTCTGAAATAAGGTCCTTATACATAAGAAACAAAATGGGTGGACTGATTCAAAACACTGCAGTTCCACAGCATTCTACAGGCATTCCTGAAATAATTTCCATTTCACTTTGATATTTTCATCTGGAAGACATATCCAGACTCTTTCTCCACCCTTGGAAAACATCCAGAAATAAGCTTCCTTTTGTGAACTGAAAGGCACCAGAAATTAGCCTCCCACCTTTTTGTTGAAGCATGTGGGAACTCAGCCTGCCTACTGTACAAGTCCTTCAGCCTTAAAACAGCAGGAATTTGGCATATTATCAAATCTTGAAGACAAAGGGGCCAAACTGACACATTGTACATGTTTGGGAGCTTTGGGGATAGAAAAGACACTTTCATAATTTATTTACTGACCAAATTTGACAGTGACAGCCTATTCCCAGTGGGAACCTTTTATTCAATTTTGATTTGGATATAGCACTAGCATAAGGCAAAACATTTGCAGGAGTTAGATTCATTGATCCCTTTCTGCTGCCATCTAGCATTTATCTGAATTATTGCAACCAGATGTTATAAGCAGGGCTACATGCATTTTATATGTAAGTTGACTTTTCTATTTGTCTCCTCTTTCCCACTTGACTCTTTACTAAAAACACTGCTGTCACTTAGAACAGCTGCACAGTTGCTTGGTTTGAGAAGTAACCCAAATTACTATATTTTTTGTTAATTTCAATAGTTTATATTTGCCTGTATTTCTCTCCTCTGATGTTCTGCTTCTGCAATAGAATTGCAGTTCAGTGCCATTCTGTCGAGCTGTGTATAAAGCCATCTTTTTTCCATTGTCCCGCAATCTAATTTGATTCTCACAATTCAGCTAGTGTTGTTTCATTCTTATTTATTATATTTGAAACACAAAATACTGCACACCACCGAACTGTTAGCATGTTGAAAACCTCTTTTTGGAGCCAGATTTAGTATCTGGTTCAATGAAGCAGAACCAGTGGCCCACAATCACGAGAGGGAAATTATGTCATTACAATAGTGCAATTCTGACCACAAACAAGGAAAAAAATATTTATAATCTCATTTCCTAGGTTCACAACTCAATACAATACATTCATTTTTAACTGATATTAGCAATTCCATAATGGAGTAACAATATTCTCTTTTTGCTCACACCTTCACTTTGATGCTCCACCAAGCTTAATCATCTCCACTAACTAGCCTGGACATTTGAACTTTTGTTCCTTGAACTTTTGTTTCTGGTAGGTAATTTTTTTCCAGAGCTATGCCAGGATAATTTGTGGGTTCCATTCTTATTTATTTTGGTTTTATTTGAATTTTTAAAATTCCCTTTTATCTATTTTAACCAGAATCCTTGGAACCGGATTCTTCAGTCCAATTGCAAACTCTTGATTGCAAACTGCCCACAGATTGGAGATTAGGGCGGGATATAAACCTGCTCCGAAACAAACCAAGGCAATAAGACCTGACCCATTCCGCCAGAAGAGGAGGCGGCTGTGGCGCATGTCACAAGAACAGAGAAATCTACAAAGTTGACCACAGGACCGCGGTTCAAAACAGCCAAAGGATTCTCGTAGCAGTGAGAAGGAAGCGCGCTCGCGGGGCCGCTCCCGCTTTAATCTTGCGCCGGCTCCCCCGCATCTCCCAGCATGCAAGGCGTCCCGTCGTCCTCCTGCCGTTCCCAGGCAGAAGTGGGCCTGCTTTCTTTCCTCGCCCTCAGTACGGCGGGTCCATTCCCTTCAGCCACGGAAAGCCCAATGGCGAGGTGCTCCGCTTTAGGGTTTAGGTTCGCTCCTGTTGCGCTCGGAGTCATGGTTTCCCCGAAGGGGAGTCAACACGTGCGCTTCAGCAGAGGCCAGGCTGGCAGGCCGCTCCCAACTCCCACCATTAAGATGGTTTTGAAGTCATAACCCAAAGGGGATTCCCCCCCCCCACCCGCTTCTGTGGAGGTGCAAGTCTGTGTTAAATCATTAGAAGAAATAAATTGGCTTCAAATGGCTGCTTTGAGAGAAACGGGGATCTAAACGTTTCAGCTGTTGTAACCGTTAATCTTCTACAAGACTTTTAACGAGTGTGAGGGTTGCGGCTTTGCTAATTTTGTTTGGAAAATGCTAATCCAGACGGAGAGATGAAGCGACTTGCCTAAACCACGCCGTCTTTAGAACAGAGGAACTAAGCCTTTGTTCTCTGGATTTGCGGGGCTGCATGGCAGGCACCCACGGTCTGGAGATGGGGCTGCGCGGCGCCTCCTAATGAAACAAGCTCATGCAGAACCATGAACTCTGGGTCTCTCTCTCTCTCTCTCTCTCTCTGCCTTTTAGTAACAAGGGAACCGTCTACAAAGAAATGTGGGGGTGAGGAGGGGAAAGAACTATAAGACCTTCCTTTTTAAAACCATATCGAACTATTTTTCCTGCAAAACTATAGAAATGAAGATATATTTTAAGTCTCAAACGAGATACAACAGCAATCAGAATAAATTGTGATAAAATGAAACAGTCTTTCCATCGAGTCGACTTCGGACAGTACTTCCAAATAGCCGGAACAGGACAGAAATCCTGCACGGATATAAGGTTCCAGGGCACTTCGATTTATTAACGAACAAGATTTTTCAACAATTGGACTTGCCTTACTATCTCTTTGAGGATTTCCCCCCCCCCGTGATCACTACATTAGTATGTCCAAAATCTATAAATTTCTTTGATTTGAATAATTGTAATCTGGGCTTTGCGTATGCCAGTTCAGAAAATTAACTTTTTTTCTACGAATATTAAGAAAAACTTGGTCGTATAGTATGAGATGCAAATCCACATTTGTATTAAGAAAAAGAACGCAGTTTGATTTGTGGCTCTTCTTGGTTCAAGATACCTCCAGATGTAGAGAGGGAGGAGAGAAGGAGAGTGAGGAAGAAGAAGGAAGGGGGAAGTGAAGAGATGAGAGGGGGATGCGGTTTGGGGGGAAATGGGTGAGCAATGCCGGAATTTGTGTGTTGTATTTTAACTTGTTATGTATCTGAATTTTTTTTCTTATGATTGTAATGAAAATAAAATAATACATTTTTTTAAAAAAAAAAGATACCTCCAGATGTATCTGAAGTGTATTTCTTCTCTTGGTGTCTTTTCCTATTGAAAATACTGTCTCATTCCGGAGAGAGAAATATTTCAAAACATTTCAAAACCATGATTTATACCTTGCTTCGCTATGGCATTAAATCAAAAGTCAGCTGTTCAACTGCATCAAGAACAATTCAGAGAATGAAATGGATTGTTTAAAGATAGGCAATTGCTCCGATAAAATTGTGTATGCTGACAAATTCTTCTTTGAGCTAAACGGCAGAGCGTATTAGGTTGGCTCTGTTTGATATTATTTCGCAGTAATTGTAGCGGGATTTTTAAGAGTTGCAAGACTCATTAAGTCTGGATGAAATCTAAAGCTGAAATCCTTTAGCCACATTCACTGTTGTAATCCGACCAGTGAAGCCAAGTGCCTGCGGCTCAAGAGAGCCTGGCCCCCAAAACAATAGATTTAAATTGAGGGAATCAGCTTAAAAGCAACTTTATCCACCGATCTCTTGCAGAAGCGAGCCTAGGGAGCTTTCTCCTAAGCCATTCAGTTTGGAATTTTTGTCAATTTTGGGTGCGTGTGTGTGATTTCTTCATATTGCCAAATTGGGCTAAGAATACATTGTCCGGAGATCAGAGTGACTATGATTAAATAAAGTATATTTCCAAGTTCGCTTAACTTGAGCACAGAAACATTCCGTCTTCAGATCCCCTTCTATCAGAATTTATCTAACGTAGAGTAAGTTGTTGCATTTGAATTGTAGTTGAATTCCATTTAAAAAAACGTATTTCTGTATTCTGTCTCTGTTCGAATTCCCTAGTTACATGACTTTCTACCAGGTAAAATATATTTAGGCAGCAACTAGAGTGGGAGATTTTCGTCCCAGATAAACAT